ACTGAGAGAAAGTGTGTAACACATGGGATAAATGTGTTGTAAGGGCTTACAAAGACGAGGAAACACCAACCAGGAAGCAAAGGAAGGAGAACTCAATGTTGCTGACAAAGATACAGTAAAAGAGATACTTTTACAGTAAAAGAAGATTCTGAAGGAATAGAGGAAGATGCAAGGCAAGTAAGGTGTAAGTGTGAAGAATGATTAATAAGAACAATTTGCCAATGAATTCCCAATTTATTTACACTGGTACTGCTAAATTTGGTTGGCTGCACCCCAAGAGAGTAACAATGGTCAGATTATATGCTGAGAAAGAAGGTGAAGGGAATCTTGGAAACACTATTCATAATTCCAAGCACTCACATTTGAACGAAAAAGTCATAGCATTTTAGCAAAGTGTAAGAGAACCTTCACATGACAAACAAGATTTATTAACTTTGTTGTGTTGAGTTAATGAAATCCAACTAACAAGATGCGGTTAAAAATAAAGCAGAAAGGATAACTTGCTGATGTGTGCGATCTGAAGTCTACAATATGCAGACTAATAAATCCTATCACATCTGTTCTTAGGAAAGTTGCTCCTTGGCTGGGAGCAGAATGGAAAGATTGTGAAACAAAAACATAGAGAGCTGGTCTCAGCAGGTCAGGCAGCATCTATGGAGAAAGGAAAGTGAGTCAACGTTTCGGGTCCATGACCCTTTGTCAGAACTGGGGCATGTTGGGAGGGTGAGGTTTTTAAGGACAAGTTGAGAGGAAGAGGCAGGACAACGACGACAAAGAAGACAAAGGAGAGAATTTAGAGAATGTGTTAGTTGATGGGTTAAAGAGGTGATAGTGGCGTAAAACAAAAGGGGGGTTGTACAACAAAGGGTGGGGGGTTGGAACAAAACTGAGGAGAATAGGTGTTAATAGTGCAGAACAGGCAACACACCAGAGAGAGCCAAAGAGTGTCTGTGGTGACGATTGTAATGATAATAATAATAATAATAATAATCCTTGCATTTGATATAGCGCTTTTCACGTCGGGAGGACGTCCCAAAGCACTTCACAGAACACACTGTAAAGTGAACTGACTGTATATTTGTGGGCGAACGCGGCAGCCAATTGCGCACAGCAATGTCCCACAAACAGTCGTAGATTAAAAATGACCAATTTTATTATTGTTTTTGGTTTTTGGAGGGATTATTATTAGGCGTGTGGAGTAAGGAAACTTGCCCAAGGTTTCGCCCTGCCTGGAATTGAACTCAGGTCTCTCGCTTGCAAAGCGAGTGCTCTAACCACTGAGCTACAGGACTCCACAGAAGATAAGTCTTCTGGTAACAGAAAGAGGCGGAGGGGGGAAGGTGACCCTCTTTCTGTTACCACAACTTCAGACCATAACAGCTCACCTTCTTTATGAATGCTCCCCAACAAGAAACAGGATAACAGGACAAAAGGAAGATTGTGTTTCCTTATGTGGAAGATGTCCAGGGCAATGCCCAGAAACTAAATAAAGTACAGAGCAGGATTAGAAACAAAGTAGTGCGTGCCACTGTTATTCTTTCCTTGTTTTGACATAAATTCAAGGTGTCAACTCTGAAAAAAAATTCTAACCTACACTGTAAGCATGATATTAATTAGGAGATGGTACATTGTCATTACCCCGATGTTTTACAAACATTTTTATCTTTTAAAAGTGAACAAGTGGATTTCTAGCTTTCATTCCTTCATATAAAAACTATTAATCACCTGCACAACAAGCTCCCAAGACACAGTTTGCTTTCCTCATTGCCAGCAAACCTTTGTTACTTGTCGCAACTAGCCAGACAATGTAATTCAAGTATTGGGCCATCATAATCAAGCCAATTCTACTTCATCCAATGCACTCTTTTCAATACTGTATAGAAAGGTCACTGGATAATAGCTGAACTCTTGATTGTTTCCTCCTCCTGAGCCTTAGGACACTGAACTCAATTGCAACACCTTTATTCCTACCGTAGCTGCCATCAATTTATGTAGCAGATTTAATAAATGAACAGTAGTACTCATTTATGAGATATAGCACCTTGCATGTAAGGAGAATGTCTCAAAGCACTTCACAGGATATACTGTGAAGTATAATGACTGTATAAACAAATGTGGTCGCCAATGTCCCACAAACAGCCATGAAGTGAATGCCTAATCTCATATGAGGAATTATTGGCCAGAAAACTGGAATAAAATCCCTTCTCTTTTCAAACAGTGCCAATTACTTTTAAAAGTATCACATCTCAGTTTAATGTCTCATCAGAAAGCGGCACCTCCAACAATGTAGCACATCCATAGCACTGTATTAGCATATGTAAGCAAATAACAGGTCCAAATGGCCTAAAACCAACCCAGGAATATTGTCTTACACTGATCACAAAACTGTCTTATTGATACATTTTTAGAATGGCAAATTTTATTCTACAGACAAAGCAAAAAGATTACTATTATTAATGATCAACACAAAACATAGACCCATCCCCATGTGATATATTGATATAGCTTTTCATCATCATTCAATTAAAAGAAAAACAAATGCATCCTTTTATGTGACATAATATTGTACCAGTCACTAAATACTCAGGCATAACTGAGCAGTCAGTGAGTTATTAAGAATCAGAATAGCTTTCAGTTAAATTCAATCTGTGGTACCTTAATTATCCACCAAAATGACCCCTCTCACCTGGCACCGCATGCCCTCTGCCTGAGGATAATTAAAATTAGTTACTCTGCTTGTTACGCTTGAAGAGAAATATTAAAAGGTACTGGGAGCGAGCAGGCGTGTGGGATCGACTAGGAGAAAAATATCAGTGCAAACTTGATGGGCCGAATCATGTTTCTGTGCTTTAACATTCTATGATTCTGTGGTTGATAACGAAAGCTCCACGATTGTGAAATGAATAGAAATGTTCCTAGGATATTTTCACATCTTGACAAATGTGGCGAGTGAGGGCCAGGAAAGGGGTGGAAGAAGTGGGAGGAGCTCTGAGCTGTACTTTAACATGTGGTGCTAGTTTATGTTGCACATGTGTTACAAGTCTGTCTCCAGATGGGCCTTGCTCTGTTAAAGAAATTGGAAAGTGAGGAGTAATAGCTGAGTATGTACCCATATAGATATCTACATAGTCGAGGCTGGCAATGCAATGCTGGGGGAATGCTACTCTGTTGGGATTGTGGTCCTTCATATGAGACAATAAATGGAGGCCCCTTCTACTTGTTCAGGTAGACCCGGAAGATTCCATGGCACTATTGATGTCCCTGGCCAATAATCACAGATAAAATGGATCATTTTCGTGGTTCATGGTTATTAGTAAAAACATTGCAAGGTGCAAATTGGCTAGTACAAATACACAGTCTTTGGACGTAACAGTAAAATTGGGTGAAGTGCTTGGAGACATTTCGATGATGTCATTACTTGCTATATCAAACGCAATCAATGATTAGGATGATTATTAGTATTACTGGTTCAGCTATATAATATGAACAGCTAATCTCCACCATCCACACAAGTATGTAACATCATAGAATATGCATGCATTAACGACTTAATAATAAAATAATAATCCTTGCATTTGATATAGCGCTTTTCACGTCGGGAGGACATCCCAAAGCGCTTCACAGAACACACTGCAAAGTGAATTGACTGTATATTTGTGGGTGAACGCGGCAGCCAATTGCGCACAGCAATGTCCCACAAACAGTCCTAGATTGAAAATGACCAATTTATTATTGTTTTGGGTTTTGGAGGGATTATTATTAGGCGTGTGGAGTAAGGAAACTTGCCCAAGGTTTCGCCCTGTCTGGAATTGAACTCAGGTCTCTCGCTTGCAAAGCGAGTGCTCTAACCACTGAGCGATAGGACTTTCCTGTTATATGTACCTAGATAGTGTATGAAAGATATTGATTTGAAACACAGTATTTATTTTAAGAACCTTGGAAAACTAACTCGCAATTTGAAATTGAATGTAAGAATTTAACACATTTTTGTAGAATATTAACTTTTAAGAAAAATTGTTTTTACATGCGGAGACTGGGTAGAACATTAGGTCTGAGGGAAATTTATGTCTTGTCAGCCATTATGGTCTTTCTTCATGACCACAATGGCTGACTCAAACATAAATTTCCCTCGATCCATTTTGAGACTTGGAATCGCTGTGCTGGAGTTAAATCCTGGATCAGCCAGAAACATGTAGTTTAATAATTAGTTGGATTATCAGCATTATGAGGCACAGGACAGACTACGCACTGTGACAGACACCACATCTGCTGCAGCAAAAACCTCTGGAAACCAAGAGACGACTTTTCAGTTTAATTCAAGCTATAATTGGAATCAGTAACAGCAATAAACTGAAGCATCACTTGACATCACACTCCATACAAACACGGTCACGTGTCTCACAGGACCACAGTAACCTGCTTCTGTAAATTGCACAGAATTGGACCTTCTTCACATGAACAAGCTAAGAATTATTTGCGATGTTCTCCTCACAAACAGACATTGAGACAACATTGACAGGTGGGAGCTCAGACTGGTACGCAGCTCCTCTAACTGTGCATGCATTAGTCTTGGATACAACCTAAATCATATCCCTTCAGTGGAGTTCAGGAAGCAGAGTTACCAACACTTAGCAATTTTTCTTTGGATCATACAAGTACTCCTGCAATTTTTAAACAATGTCAGTTATGTTATTTAACTAAAGACACAGACATCAATAACCTTGTCAAGATCATTACCTAAACAATTAGCACTAACTGCATCTAGATTACATAACCACTACAAGTTCCAGAAATGCATAAATGTTTGATAGCCTAGGATTTTTAACAAGACCCAAGGTAACGTAATGCTCAATAGAGTAGCAAAGTACAACTCTAATTTACAGCCAAATAATTCCTCATTAAAATGCTGCTATTTCAATAATGTGCAAGCACAGCGAATCCGAGTTAAAAGGAAGCATCTTCCAGCGAGGTCAAATCTTCACACGGTGGATTCTACTTACAATGTTCTCCAGGCTCTTCATACCACAGCATTTGTGATCGTTACAGAATATAAGGCACAGATGCAAAGTTTTCAAACTCCAAACATGAGTGTTGTTAGGTTCTGCTGAGCTCTGAAGCGCTTTGTAATCCAAACACTGAATATTTAGCTCTATCCCCTCACAGCTTATACTGTATTAAAAAAAGTTAACTGTCCTTGAAAGAAGACCCCCGTAAGCAGCACTGGTGGTGCCTTGCACTGTGTTGCTGGAGTCACTGATGTCGGCACTATGAGGCCCAAAGATGTTTCAAATTCCAGGCCCTGCGCAGAAGCAATGAACTCCCTCCCCAAAAGTACAGCTACCCACATCACAACTTCCCAGGCACTGTACATATATGGTTATGCTCTTGTTGTGACCTAAATAATAGCTTCAAACAGTGAAGGACAGCTGCCTCCTTAGTTTTAACAAAATATAATGTATTCTCCTACAGAGAAGCTCTGTCCTCCTAACATTCATTATTACAGTATTGTAATTGCAGATACACACAGCAATAAAGTCGCACAGGCCTCACTGAATCCTCAATTTTAGAGGCTGCTGTTATTAACTAATGTTGTTCTTTCTAATTATAAACTTGTATGTTCCACAGTTGAGATACGTTGGTTTGCACACATTTAATCTTTCTTGTCGTCTTGTATTACAAATCCTAAAAATGTGGCTTAGATTTGAAAAGATGATTTAAAGAATTTGTTAAAAGCTTAGAGGCTGCAACCACCTACATATTAAAGAGACATCTTTGTGGGACCTCATTTTGTAAACCAAATCTGGAGATAAGTATTAAAAAAATTGAATTCACAATTCCTGATGCTGGCAGTACTGGAGAAACTTGATGGAATATTCGCTGTATTTTTCGGATGAGTGTATCGGTTTAGAATTTTATTGCTCTTGCTCAGGTTGTTGCTGAACTCAAGACAGGGCAAATTTGGCTAGGGGTACAATACCTCATCCAGGGACCATCCCCAGAAATCAGGACATGTGGTCATCCTAGCCATAACCTACTTATGAAAGCAGAATCAAGGTCTTTAAAAGAAAATAAATCAATGTGCTCTCACTGCAACTGAATTGTCACACAAATATTCTGCTTATTGTTAAGTTTGAGCATTTATCAATGATTCATTTAGGATGACACCCACCATGTTCACATACTCCATGCGAATCGGCATTCAATGAGTGTCCAATATCATGTTAAACATAAGAACACAGCGTGCTATCCTTAGATCCTTCATAAATAATCCATATTGGCTCATAATAACTACCGCATATAATTTCCTGTAAATTATAGTATAGGTGACTGTCAGACCTGTGTTATTTTTGAAAACCAAATCGGCAAGGTCAATGTCGGGGATGACAGATTTCTCTCCCCCTAGGAATACAGTGAAAAATTAGATGAGGAAGGGTCAGCCTCATGCACCTTTTGGGGAAACTTAACAGACCAAGAAGTTGACCGTCTGCCCATCCTCTGACTGGGGGCATGGTGCATGGCTTACAGCAGGGTGGTCCAATGTTTGGCTGCTGATGGCCGGATGCCCTATTTGAGAAATGTCCACAGGCCGCAGAAGCATATTTTTGTGTTTCTCTTCCAGAAGCATAACATTTACACACTTCCTTTTTCACGTCAGAAGGATGTTTCAAAGCGCTCGAAAACAGTCAGCTGGACACCTGCGCTAGGGGCGGGAGCTGAGGAAGGTGGGATGGGGAGGGGAAAAGATGACGGAAAGCGTGATCAAAGAGTTAGGTCTTGATCTGCGTTGAAAGAGTGGGGGAGGGAGCGAGTCAGACGGACTGCGGGAATGGAGCTCGGTAGTCGCAGAAGTGTGGTGGGGAAGGGGCATGAAGGCCGTAATAGTGTTTCTCACTAGGAAAAGAGGGAGATTTCTGTGAGAAAACTGCACAGCACATCACTTGGTGTTTGTGCTCAGTCCCCCTGTGGCTACCAAGGGTGGCTTCTAACATCTGTCCTGACAGTGAACCACAAAACGCTGTCCTCAATACTTATTTTTGTCTCTCTATCTCGGACTCCTTCTTTCTGTTTCTCTCTCTATACCTCTCCCTCATGCCTCTTTCTCTCACACTCTCTCTTTCAATCACTCTCACTCCTCTCTCACACACACTTTCTCTCGTAATTACTCTCTCTCTCACACATCCTCTCTCTCTTTCATTCACACTCTATCTCTCTCCTCCTCTCTCTCCCTCAATCCCTCTCTCTCAGTCAGTCAGGTGCCGGGCTCACTATTTGGTACTGGTAGTTGGTAAGGAGGCTCAAGAGTATTGAGCTGGAGGGAGGGGAAATAATGCTGCTGGTCTGTCAAGAAACCCCTCCTGAGCTAAGGGGAAGGCGAGCAGGTCTCCTCAGCAAACCCGTCCTCCCAACTGCTTGATCCTGCACTGCCAAGAGGGGACGGTTCGCTGGAGATTGAGGGAGTGGCGGCCAGGTGAAATCACCCACGGACCAGAAATGGCTGCCAGTTTGGACCACCCTGACTTGCAGGATAATTAAAGGCAGGAAGAAGGCAGCAAAAAGGTCAATCTTTAAAGTTTGATGTTTGAAAGTGTTATTGCACATGTTACAGAACAGTAGTGTCTGATAGTAAAAATTCTTACATTTGGTATATTGCCTTTCACGTCAGAAGGACATCCCAAAGCACTTCACAGGATTTACTGAAACTGTGATTTGTGCAACACAAAATGCTTCAATTAACCGAACAAGACTAAACAGTATTCACAACAACAACTTGAATTTATGTACAGAGTGAAGGGTGCTCTATAAATACAAGTTGTTGTTGTTGTAAAGAGTAATAACAATACATAGCCTACAATATACCAAAACCACAGTACATTATCGGTGCTTTCAGTGTGCCCACTGAATAAAGGGTTGTTCTGGTTGCTGTAGAGTTTTGAGGGAATTTTCCCAGCCTCACCTCCTCGACAGGAATATGAAAATCATGTGCTGCCACTATTGGGAGACAAAGATGCATCTTTTTAATTCAACATTGCTATTTTCCAGTGGGATTAAAGAGAATCAAATTGGTTTTACAGTTTTGTAACATTGTTTGTGGTACGTTGCTGGCACAACTGGCTACTGTGTTTCACTCACAAAATACAGTCAAAAAAACTTTACAGCAAATACTGTGCAGCACTTTGAGACCTTGCAACATGAACAGAGCTTTATCAAATGCAAGGTTATTATAATTGTGACTCCATAAAGCAGTAATATTAGGAGAGGACGATTATTTCCTTCAGCTTGAGAATAAAAGAAATCTGTAACTGGTTAGACCTGAAAAGCTTTGTGAAAAGGGTCTAAGGAATCAGAGACCTTTCTCAAACTCAAACTGAATCAAATCTTTCTTACAACTTCCTGTTAATCTTGCACATACACCGGCAACCCAATGCAAATGAAAAAAAAATGAGAAATGTGTAGAATTGCCTCGGACAGAAGAGAAACCATCACTGGGACACTTTTACTCATCAGTGCCGATTGATAAAGATTGAGGCAGAATGGAGTCTCCTTAGCACCAAAGATAAGAAACCATTGAGTGGAGCATAAATGGATTTGCTCAAGAAAAGAAAGTAATACCGCTAGGAAAAGGGATCAACCAAAAAGACTATGGGGAGTTGCCAGAGTAAAAACAGTTCATAGACACAGAAGATAATGAATATCTCACAGTGAGTTTTATGACACTAATATTTAGTCGTTCTGATATATAATTTATGAACACAAATGTTACACGGTGGTTGATTTACGGCCTTAAATTCATTGCAGCAATATATTAGTTTGTGTTAATAATGCAGTCTGTATCTTTGTTAATCATTATGCTACATTGAGCATTGGAAAGAATAACAAAAGTGGATAGTGATATATGAGTATAGAGTATATCTCATTCAATGGCTAATTGTTCAAAAACAACTTTTTCCCACCTCACAGAATCTATTCAATACACTTAAGATAATATGTTACACTTTAAGCACAATATATTGCACATTGCTTACAGCATATTATACGCTACACATCACATATCACAGTATAACTATATATTATTCATTATCAACGTTACAGAGTTTACAATATCCTACAGTATGCAATACGTCCCATTTCATTATAGTAGTCTCCTATCAGTTGCAAACACTGGTGATTGCAGAATACACAATCATTCCACTTTACAGTATATCCCATGAAGTGTTTTGAGATGTCTTCCCCACCATGCAAGACATTACATCAAATCTAAGGATTAACAGGATTATAACAAAATCTCTGTAGTTACAAAAGAAGTCACAATATTTATAAATGGAAATGGTAGATAAAAGTATTACTGTAAGTTTGAAAACAAATCTGCTAAATCTTTCCTTATAGCAACAGAAGAGATTTCTTGCGGCAACTAACAACTTGATAGTTTTCATTCAAATAGCTTAGTTTTCCTGCAGTCCTTTCCCTCCTGTACCGTATGTAGCTGAATGATAAAATAAAGTCAACCACCTTCATAGGTTGAATACACTAATGAATTCATAACTTCTCAACAGAGAAATGCTGTGCGTTGCAATGAGCTCTAATAGGAACTGGAAGCATGAAGGTCAACATTTCAATGCTTCTAAACAGCGTTAATATGATTAGTGCATAAAATCTGTTAAGTGCACAATTTCTATTCTATTACTAAAGACTGGGTGTGAAACCCTCCTCATTACATTGGCACATTGGTTGTGTCCAAACGCAGTTTGAAGATTTCAGCACTGCCAATTTTTGCCTAAATCCTTGACTGTCCTGCGCCTTAGGACGTCTTCCCAACGTGAAAGGCGCAATACAAATGTAATTTGTTGTTGATGTTGCTGCTATTTGTTATTGCTGAATGCAGAACATGGTAATGCAGAATAACGGATTCTGGGTTATTGCATCAAATCTGCCATGAAATGTTGCAATTTTCATCCCATGATTTCTGAACAAGACAGATTCAGTTACTTGGCAAAAATTGCATCTTTTTACCTTTACAGAATTACAAAAATAATTATTTACCCCAATGAAACCTTCAATGAATAGAACTGAAATTTGATTTCAAAATTAAATGAAATAAATATTCCTTTTTGTGATCTCAATGTGTTAAGTCAATTTTGCAAATAAGAATAAACATGCATTGAGAACATCATGACCCAATTATCACCTCAGAAGACAGCACCACGATCCTTGTTCTCACATTTAATTAACTCCACGGTCTCACCTGGCATAGATTAAAAACAGGACCATCCTAACTGTTAAAATCTTGGTTATTACTTCTGCACAACCCAACATTTTGGACAAT